TCCTCCTCCTCCTCCTTCTCCTTCTCCTCCTTCTCTTCTTATTCCTTCTCCTCTTCCTCTTTCTCCTCTTCCTCCTCCTTTTCCTCCTCCTCTTCCTACTCCTTCTACTCCTCCTCTTTCTCCTTCTCTTCCTCTTCCTCCTCTTTTTCCTCCTCTTCCTCTTTTTCCTCCTCCCTCCCTCTCCCTTTCCTTCTCCTTCTCTCTTTTTCTTTTTTGAGTATGGAGAATTGAACGTTGTGCTTGCCAGGCAGGCACTATGGCACTGAGCTATCTCTCAGGTTCAATGCCCAATTTCTTTCTTTCTGCCCTTTAGGTTCTCCATGTTTTAAACACTGACTTTTTTTTTCTTCTTTTTGTTTTTTGGTATTAGGTTGAACAAATCCTGGCAGAATTTAAGATCCGGGCTCTGGAATGTCATCCTGACAAGCACCCTGAGGACCCCAAAGCTGGTAAGAATTTAATAATGGCTATTTTTCAAGAAAATGGGTAACACATAGAACCAAAAGACTTTTGTGCAGTAACAACTTTATTTTGTCTGTTATGCTCAAAGCTATTCTTTCATTTAATGCCAAAGGTCGTTTCTGCTATTGGATGGGAGAGAAGACTGTAAAAGACCTTTTTTTGTTTTTAAAAATCTTATTTATTTATTTATTTTGAGGTGAGGTCTTGTGTATTTCAGGATTGCATCAAACTTCCTGCAATCCTTCTATCTCAGCCTCTTGGGATTACAGGCCTGTGCCACAATGCCCAGTGAAAGATCTTTTTTTTTTTTTAATGTATTTGTTACAGGGTCTGCAGGGTCTACAGGGTCTCACTACATAGGTCAGACTTGTGATTCTCCTGTTTTCAGCTTCCCAAGTGCTGGGATTACAGGCATGTGCCACCATGCCCTGTCTCTATCACCATCTCAGTGCGCCCCACTGGTGAGGCTGTCATGGCACACCGGGGATCAAACCCGGGCTGCTGTGCTCTGCCTAAGCAGGGGCTTTAGTCTGCTGAGCTATTTGGCCAGCCTGAAAAATGTTTTCTTAAGAGTAGTCTTTTGATGTGCATATTTATTTCTGTAGTGTGCTGCTTCAGGATTCAAAACATGTCCAGTTTGTGCTTTATTTCACCAGCTAGTGAGTGTGAGTGTGGCAAGCAGTGGTCTTGATGGGAGCCAGCTGTTTTCTTCATTTCGCAAGGCCTGACTGTGTTCATAGTTTTTTTCCTTTATTACCGTCACACTAACATAACTGAAGTCCATTCACTGCTACAGCAAGCCCATGATCCCTCTGCAACCCATACTCCCTGTGTGCCTTCCTTTTTCCTGTCTCCTAAGGGTGACATTGCCTGAGAAGAAACCCACAGCCTCGGTCTCTCCTTCTTTTCTCCCTCGTTTTCCATTTGTTACACGATGTCTTCCTTTCCTCCTTTCTCAGAAATGGATGAAAGACTTCCTGGTTGACAAATTCATCTTAGGTTTTAGTCCTTACCTTTGCTGAGTTTGCACTTGAGTGTGGCACTTTGATTTT